TTTTTTTAATGACCCTACATAACTTCACCAGACACAGACACTAATCGTTACTTGATTTTTATCCGTGCGATTAGTTAACCAGGCTAGACCTGAGTTCTCACAAGAAACACCGATCATAATAATAATAGTTTATTGTATACAAGATGTTACATCTCATTACAAGAGCCTTCAGAATCGAACAGTTATAGTAAAAAAAAGAAACGGAATTTTAAATCTATAAACAGAAAATTTAAATTATGGATGTAAGTATTGTATCTATAATACCTATCGTTTAGAAAAAAGAACAACTCTTAACAAAACTCACCACTTGACCTACCAAAATATTTCTCTTTGATTGCTGGTGAACATGAAGTTATTTGAGTTTTTAGACAGATTTGAGGTAAAATTCCAAGTTACACATAGGCAAAAAATAGCGCACTGACTGTTGTTACCGCCTCTAAATTCATGGAAATTAGACATACCTTGAACATTTCAAAAAATCACATTTAATTTCTAGTGTTTATTACTTGAACTGAAGATTTTGGTGTTTTGCTTTTCTGGAGTTGCATCCTTCCCTTCACCCCGGCGTTTTGAATCTTCGTCTAGTTGGACAATTTGAGGAGATTGGTTGACGTATTTGATAGTAATATTTCTTTCTCCTTGATCTTGACGGGTTTTTAATTCTTTCTGGAGTGATTTTAAGTGTTGTAACTGGTTCTTGGTCAAATCAGCTTGGATCTTAATATTGTGGTATTCTGTTGGCAGCAGTTTTTTCTTATTAACAAGAATCATCCTTGAGATTTTGGAATCGCAGAATGATACTTTGAGCGGTCGTGGACGACCTGCAAATTTTCCGATACGAGTACACTCGATAACTTTTTCAGTGGCGTCAGGGGCAATGACACTTATAACCTTTGTTGCCAATGGATGATCCTCAAAGCTATTGGGCACGGAGATTTCTTCTGATAAGCCAAACAGCATAATATTGTTCTCTCGCTTAATCCTGTCTCGAATCTCACGGTAGCTATTTTCAGTGTTACGGGTATCATGAAGTTGGTCTTCAAGCAAAAGGATTTTTTGTTTTAAATTATAGTTTTCAGTTTTAATTAGTTCGATTTCCTTTATGCAGACAGATAATTGTTCGCCCTGATATTTCAATAGTGCATTGCTGTCCTGGACATTTTTGTTTATGGACACATTAAATTTTTGAAATGCTCTTCAGTGAAAACGAAGTTTGTTAGCGTACCGGTACCCATTTTGGAGTTCGGCGTCGAAAAATTACAACATACCCAAGTGCCTTTCCTACCGCCTGTGCTGGTACAAGCCATGTGTGCAAGACTCCCACATTGCGCGCAACGTACATCCTCTTGGTATTGGATAAGGCGATTGCAAACAGTACAATTTGCCGGCATTGGTAGAATAATAATATTATCAATGAAAAAGAAATAGTAGATATGGTATTCAAAACTTCTATTTATCACAACTCGACGGATTGCACTTGTTTTACTTATCACTTCACCTTTTGGCGTAAAATTTTATATGATTAATAGTCGAATTATTACTTTCAGAGATTGATTTTAATTGAGATATTTACGAATTCGTTTTATAGCCCTAATGCCATACATGTATACTGTGCCGTGTCCAACTGAAGACTTACTTACTAATATCGTTATACCTACATCAACTAAATTAACTTAATCTTAAAAAAGAAATAAAAAAAACACGCGCATAAAGGAAAACTGTACCTTACATTTATCAAAAATTACACCCATGCCGCACTACTCGAACTGCACCGAAATGGGACAAGTCATCGCCGCCAACTCATCGCGGCCGACTAAGCGCGGCCGGTTCATCGCCGAGCCGTGTCATCGCCGGCCAACTCATCGCCGCCCAACTCATCGCCGAAAGTGTCGGTTTCTTGGTTATTGCATCCACCATGCCATAACCACCCGACAAGGCAACGAAATAAAAGAATGTATGGGCAGTAAGTCTTATCTATTTATTCATTCGGCATTGAAAAGGTTACAACAACAACAATATTTTCACCATTATTAAAGCTTACATTATAACAATCTGATCCACTATGGTAATCAATATTATTAAAACGCAAGACACGAAAAACTTAAAAACTACGAATAATAAGTATGGATATAATGACTTTCTAAAACTGGTAATTATGTGCCAAGCCACGTAAATATTCAATTTTATCTCGGATGTGGTATTGTGATACAATTGATTTTATCCTTTCGTCAGCCATGCGATATTTCCTCAATTTGGGAGGTGCGCTGTTTCCTGCCACTAGTTGTTCATAATATGTATCACGATTTTTCTGGACCTTCCGCAAACCATCAATGAACTTCCACGTTGTTGGATGATGTACTCCCAATTCCGTCTGTATACGGCGATGTGCAGCTTCAACATGATTGTTCGTGCGGTCTTGATCGTTTAATACTCTATCGTACAGATTCCAAGTTTCTGGCGGAAACAAAGGTCGCCGTCTCCCATTGCCACGTCTGTTAAGACGACCCATGTAATTATCCTCGAACCAGTCCAACAGAGGTTGTAATTCTTGAGGTAACTCTTGCCCAAGCTCTTCCACAAATCCGTCGAGATCGTCCAATGGTACGAAGACCAAAGAAATCACCATTTTTGCTTTTAAAGCAAATTCGGCATCGTTGTTATAGAGTGCCACAAATCCCATGTCAGTCAAATGTTTTTTCATATTCTTTGCTAAATGAAAGAAGCAACCTCTTATAGCAGTGTCAGGGAAGCATTCCGAAATTGCAGAAATTGCTGCCGACTCAAAATCGCAGCTGACTGAGTTGGGATGTAAGTTTGGTGATAAGTTCTTTATCGCTTCAAACATTTGCACGTAAGTTGCACGTTGCTTGTTAGGTAAAAGTGCATATAGAATGGGATGCACTCCTCCAAGTTTTTTTGCCATAATGACGTAGACTTGCGCAAACAATCTTGGTGCAATTGAAAAAGTTCCATCGACAAACCATGTTTGTGCCGATTGTAGGTATTGGATCCAAGTCTCTCTACCGAAGATTAAAATTCTGTTGTTGTCGTTACGGCCACTATCATGTAGTAAGAAATTTTCTTCCACTGCACCTTCAGAACGGTATACTTTGTAAGCATCCGGTATCACAAGATCTCCTAAAACAGCAGGATCCAGTGGTGCATTATGAATTTCATTTCTTTTTCGGCGAATTACTTTTCTTAACGCTGCAGTATTGGGAATAGCGGCTTGCCCAGCTTGTGATAAATTTCCTATACACTGGTTGATAACTTGAACCGTGTTTTCAACAGTTGATTCAGCACGACGTTTAATAGTTGTTATCACAGTTGCAACTTCCACACCAACTGACGAAGAGTCGTGAGAATGATCATTTAGTTGCTTTATGACTTCTCCGTTCTGGGTATGCAGTCTTGCTTTGCAGCGACCCATCTGATCACACCGCCAAAATTTGACACCAACGTTGCACTTGCTACGCTTATCAAAAATATACAAATGACCTTCGTAATTAAACTTTTCGCGGCCCCGTTGGCTCACAATTTCCGCTTCCATGACACTATCAAATATGCCTTAATCGCCAAGGAATGAGAATAAACTACCAAACTGTAATTTTGAGAAGGGTTCTTATATCCACTACAACCTAATTAATTTCATCAATGCCGCGCTTAGTCGGCCGCGATGAGTCGGCGGCGATGACTTGTCCTAGACCGAACTGCACTGTCTCATTATTTCTACCATGTTGGCAAGACCGTCAATATGGATATCGCACATTTGGCCGATTTCGTTAAAGTTAGAGCACACGTTGTACACTGGGGATCTTTTAAGAACGTTCGTATTGCTAGTATTTGAGTAGAACAAGTTCTTTTCACGAGCATTTAATCTAGGGACCCGGAAAGCTAGTGCAGTTAAAAGGGAACTACAATCTATTTCATTGTTTAATAGGTGACGTAAGAACGCAATCGAGGCACAATGAACGCACATGAACACACAATATTGAGACGTGACATGAATTTCAGGATTTCGTTACTAGAAACTCAGTAACTTCTGGACTTATGTAGTTCTTTACTATGAGAAGTAAGGGTAATCGTTAGCGTCGTGTTTTAGCCCCCGATAAGGGAATCCAGATTCTGAAGCTTCATTCGATTGGAAGAAGAGAAGTAAAGTATGTATTTTAGGATTTCAACTCCGTTAATTAGGTAATAGCCGAATTCAGTTTCCCTATGTTAATGCAGAACTAGGATAGAAAACGGCAAGGTCGCTGGTTTACTTGTAGATAAACCTGGTAAAGTGACCTGTCGCTTGATCCCAGGATTCCTGAACGCGATCAGCGATAATTGAACTACGGAAGTTGGGAATTTCGGCCCGTTGAGTATAATTAACCGTAGGTACTTAATTGTTGTGATGCAGCAAACCTCGTCTGATTAGATCGTGCCTAGTATCACATGAAACGCGCTTAATTGGCATCAGTTTACTAAAGGCAAGATCTTGGTTTAAAAGAGATCTTTAGGATATTTGGTCATCTTGCATAGTGTGTATTTAATCATTAGTAACTTTCTTATCTACGGAAAAAACCCTCTTATTCTTTAGACGTTAGAGGTTCGTGTTTATTCCTTGCGATATTGAAATCTACATGTGATTTCTTGTAGGGTTTTTGTTTCCGGTGGTATTTGTGGGAACAGAACAGTGGGAGTAAGACGGACAAACATGGACAGAAGGTGATGAAAGAAGGGAGGATCAATAAGGTGATAAAAAAGAAAACAAAAAAGAGTGAGGAAAATAGAAGAAACAAAGAGAAAAGCAACTAGAAAGGTAGGAGGATGATGATGACAACAAAATGCTAAGGGGAAGGCGGAAGTGCCAGAATGGACTGGCGGGGAGGAGGCGGTTGCGTTTAATATTACATCTCGAGTACCAAGAGATTCCCGCGAACATACGTTAATATTCAACTCGTACTTTAATGACATGGCTTTTTTAGAATTAGTGATTGTATTCCCAGTCGAGTTAAAACTTAATTTGAAAAATTGATGAAAAAAATCAATACTCAATAATATCCAAAAAACTGTTGCCACTAGATCCTACAATTCAAGGGTTCCAAAGACCTAACAAACCACATTTCAAAATTCGGAAAATTCATTCTCAAGGTTTTTGAAAACTTCACATCTTTAATTCGCAGATTTAAATGGCATTATAAGAACTTGTAACTATAATTCAATACCGTTTTGGCATCACGAGACCTTTATTGTATAAAGTTTAAAGCTCATTCGATACTCCAAGGAATAAAAATGATTATTTCTTTACTAGTTGACAAGTTGCGACCATTAAACTTGGCCCAAAAAGGCATATGCCATCAGCTACTTAACACATTAATTATTTAGAGGTGACACATCACTTTAGTTTAGGTATAGATGACCCGTTCTGATTTAAATTTGAATGCTTCAGCAGCACCAAAAGGAGGTCTACGAATTTTAACTCCTGAAATTAGAAATACTTACTGAAAATATTTTTTTGAAAATTCTGGTGAGACGAGGTTCTATAGAGAAATCGAGGGGTAAACCGCTGGAGGAAATAGTGTACAAGTTGAGGGGAATTAAGAGGGAATTAGGGTATTTCGAAGGTATTAAAAGGAATTAATAGGTATTTTGAGAATTACCGAGGAAATTAAAGGTATTATGAGGTATTAGTAGGGAATTAAAAGGAATTAAAAGGAAAATGAGGAAATAAATAGGTTTGCGCATGCGCTAACATAGATCAGAATTAAAATGACGCATCGTTTTACATCAGTGACTCGTATAGTGCATACCTCGGTGCATACTAGCTGTAAACTGTGACGTGCCGGTACAATATTTGGTATAAGATTTTATTAAAGATGCTTGTTTGTATTTAAATTTTTTTATTACTCTGTCTTGGATTAAGTATCTTTTGTTTGTTTTGGTAATAACATTATGTACTGAATAAATTAATATTTTTTTATGGAATTCATATTTTTTAAACTTCACCACTTGCTTACCTATAAACCAAAAATAAATTTATATTTTAAAACGTTTATGTTACTACGGAGAAATCAATAAGTTCAATAAATAATTTTAGTAAAGTTATAAAGGTAGATATTAGTCTTTTTTTTATCCATTTTGTTTATTTATTGCCCCTCTCTTGTTCCGTGCCCTCAACAGGCTTGCAGTTACAGAGTGACCCGCATAATGCTTTCAAGTTGTTCTATACTACTCCTGTATATTTACCTTACGAATTAGGGAAACTGCAGGAAAACCTAATTCAGAGTAGCCGGCAGAATGCTCGAAACTGATCTAAGGAAATTCCTATCTCTGATAGAAATGAAAAATTCTTACCTCAGCCCAGGTTCGAACACCCGTCCTCCGGCTTTGTAGCCCAATTATAGAGAATAGAGCTGTTGTAAGAATTATGGGGAATTCAGAGCAATAATGTAGGTAGGTATTAATAGAAAATTTAAAAAATTGTGGAGAATTGAGAGCATTATTAAGGTATTAATAGGAAATAAAAACGTTTTGAGGAGTTCATGGCTATAATTAAGGTATTAATAGGAAATAAAAAATTAGGAGGAATTAAGGAATTAAAAGGAATTAAAGGGAATTAAAGGGAATTTTTTCAGGAAAAGGTACTTGGTGTACAAATTTTTGCTAGCGGTTTGCCCCTCGAGAGAAATATTAATATTTCAATTCTCTTAAATAAATGCTACGAAATTTGCAATTGTAATATGAATTTTAAGAAATATTTGACATCCGAAAATCGAATCTCTAAGAAATTTGTAGAAAATAAGTGCTCCATTAAAAATAAAAAGATAAATTTGAGAAGATACACATTCCAAGAATATTATTTTTTACACTGAAATTTTTCGGCTGAAAATGACATTTGCGAATTAAGTATAGTAAATATATTTATAATTTCTCAAATGTCTAAAAATCCAATTTTAAGGAGTTTTTACTTCATGTAAGGTAGGATGATGAGGAGGAGCGGGACAGAAAGGAAGAAAGTATATGTAAAATTTTATCACCCATTAAATCAGCAGCACAGCTTTTGCCATGCCATGGAACATGGAATATAAATGTTGTCTGTTAACAAAAGGTGGAATTTACATAGTACGGATGTTTTCCTTCTTTTGAGTGGAAAAGATACCCCTCTAACCGTGAGTTTGGGTCTTATTATAACCCATACAGTATAATAAATAGCAACAAACGCCGGTTTTAAACCTTTTCTTGCTCCCCACTCGATCAGATTATAGGTAAGTGAACAGTAGAAACTGTAAGAGAACCAGGTAAATGCCATCAATAATTGGCTGCCATAATAATTGCACTCGTTACGGAAATTTCGAATACAGCTTTTCGATTGGCTTGGCTTCCTTCTGTGTCTGCGCTGAAAACAATTTTCATTTTACATATTAAGAGGTGAAAGCGTGACGTTTATACCTACCATGAAGTACCTAAAAAACTAAAATTTATCGATAAGTTGGTAAACTAATATTACCTACCTACCTTAAAATTATTTTGCGTGGGTTCGTTCGTAATTTGTGTTATCCATTAACATTGATTTATGTTCGCATTTCAATTGCGAGAGATGAAATTAAAACGTTCCACGTCAACCCCCAGTCCTTCGACATTATTATATAAAAGTGACCTCTATACGATACTTTTGTGTTTAAGAGGAGTGACTGACCACCCTGATAGTCGGAGAACATAAATAAAAGCGTTTATCTGTGGTTAATACTTTACATTTGCACAATTGCCTTATACCGGTTAAACGAGTGGACAACTTATCAGTTAGTCGAGTGACAGTTATGGTAAGACCGTATCCCATTCCACATTTGGAGGTGTTACAGGCGATCACAAGGGTATATAGGGGCAGATGTGTTGTATATGCGCTAGACAGCTAAGATAGATTATGGAAGCTGCGGGACGTCTTTCAGGATGACCAGTGGGCATTTAGTGGTATTGTTAAATAGTTACAATTCGAGCACGCGTTATCTGAGTGAGTCATCAATGTATCAGCTGCAGATATTAGGTTATAATTGTTATTATTACTTAATTTTTCGACCCTGCATCTTAGGTGTTGCTTTTGTATATAAATAATGCGTCGGAAAAATCAGAATAAAGCTTATGCGCTTCGTAAATTGACCAAGCACGTGCAGTTTCATTTTTCCCAGTTACGTTATTCCAAATTTTCAGTTGAAATGATTAATAATTCCACCATTCTTACGCAATATCAATTATATCTTTACCTCTTCATTAGATTTACTGAAGGGGAGTGTCGAGTAATAAAGGATTCTACACAAGAAATCATTAATCAAGCACTGTGACGTACAAGAAGGTTAATAGAAGCCTTTGGTTTCCAATTTCGGAGGGACTATATTTTGTGCAAAAAGCAACCATTAAATGTCTATTTACTGATACTGATTTTTCTAT